AATGCTATTGTTAGGCTGTAAACAAACTACGCCATGGTCCCATGACTTCAACGTCACCACCATGGCTTCCAAATTGTCATTTTTATTTAGCTCTCCTACCCCTTCTACAAAATCCTTTCCTCTTAGCGTGACCTGATTTAGCTAGTGATCATGGCTGTGGCAGTTAGTTAGAATGGTTTGCCAGTGCACAGGTTTAAATACAATGAAGCTGTAAAGGTGGGCTAGTGAGTCTCAGTGTTCAGTTTGATGATGTGTAACATCTCAGACAGGCTCTGGAGTCTCATTTAGCCACTTGCTAGCAGCTGCCCTTTTTTTTAAACAAAAGCATTAAAAAGCACAAGTGGGTATTTACTATCATTTTTTTTAAATGTGAAAATGTACTGGCTGTGTTAACCACAGACCTTATTTCAGGTGTCTAACCACAAACCCATTCAAAAAACACACTGACTTCAGTGCAGTGGAACCAGAAGTGCAAAAATGCTGACTCAGTTCAGGGTTTTGGGACTTACTACTGTGGCACTCTATCAGCTTAGTGGGGTGATTTGTGAGTAACAATAAAAGTAAGCTAAAAAGTAATAAGCTAGAATGTCTTAGAAAATATTACTATAACTCACCTTATTACTTTTAATGGGAAGTATTATGTAATATATAACTTTGAAAAAGTAACTCCCTCAACACAAGATCTTCATAAAAAGCAATCTCAAGTATTGTACAAATAATGATTAATGATTGATAACTGAGTGAACACATACAAAATATATAAAAAATGTATTCAGAGTTTGATTGTATGTGTGTGTGTACCACGTTTGAATTCATCAGTCCTTGAGTTCAAACTGGGCCCCACCATCACATCACAGGAGCCGCTGAGCCGTCTATGATATGATCACCATTAATCGTCTTGCGATCAAGCAACAAGCGAGATTTTGTCTGCCATGACTGGAATGCTGCAGTAAAAACAAAGGATGCAGGGCCATACTCAGACTGACTTCAGATTGCACATCAGCGTAGTATGGCATTCTTTCAGTAACAAGGAGAAGCCATATCCTTGGTGTCGTTTTCTTGTCTTCTAGTTTTCATTGGAGGAAGGGGAAAAAATATCACTTTGCTGCTGTTTACTGGATATTTTGCAAAAAATAACTGTATGATAAATTTTAGGGGAGAGAAAAAAATGTAGAGGGGGGCTTCAAACGTAGTGTTAACGGGAGACAGATTTTTGACATTCTTCCCGAGCCATCTGCTTTGGTTTAAGGCTTGGAGACAAAGTCAAATATGGGGGAGAAAGAAGAGGGTAGTAGAAGAAGATGGTGAGGGCAGCAGGGAATAAAGGAGATACAATATAAGCAGGCAATGGTGGAAAGCATTTTTTCCCCACAGTGAACCATTGTGTTTTGAAGTGTTGTGGCATGTGGTATGTGGGTATGCAAGATGAGATACCTATCTTCTCTGGATTTTTACAATAGAAGCTAAAATACTGTGGTTTAATCCTGAGGTTCCTGTAAATAAACTATTTTGGCAGTTAAAAAAACAGCTAAGGTTGGATTTTAATTCTGTCAACCAGTCAAGGATTCACCAGAGAGTGTTCTGCTGGAGACAACTCCAAACTGATTAGAAAATATCAGGCATATCTGTTGATTTGAAGGGAGGAAGGTCTGTGGATCTTTGGCACTCCAGACTATTTCTAAATGCCCAAAGTACCATGCCAAATTCCTTACATTTCTTTTGTCATCAGACACTAGTTCATTTAATGGGCCAACAAAAAAGATAGGAAATGCAAAAATAATGTTGATGTTGTTGGTCAAGCTGTGCTTGGTAATGCTACTGCCCTGGTCTCCAAGTCTCTCCTGTTTACTTCCCTCTCCAAGCTGTCTGTCTCCGTCCACCCCTGTGTACCATTCTACCAGTCCCCAGTGGGCACAGTCAGTCAGTCTGGCCAGGCTTGCCCCTTGCTGTGCCCCAGCGCTGGATAAGCTCCTGCCTGGACCTGGGTAGAGTCCTTTGTATAGAGCTGTGGGGGTGTTAGTGTGTGTTTGTGTTTGTGGATGTGTTATGTGTGTATGTGTATGTGTGTCTAGCATTCACAGCAGAAAGGAGAGGGGCTCCTGTCTGTGCCTAAGTGCTGCCCCCCAATGCACTCTCACCATGCGTAGTATTGAGACCTAAGGGAGCGTGAACAATCACTGCAAAACCAAAGAGCTAAGTCCCCTTGTTATACAAGCCCAATTTTCAGCACCAGCCCCACCTCTCTCCTCCATGGTGCATCCCACCCCCATTCCAGCTCCCCAGCCCCAGTCGTCAGAGGTTGACGGGCTTCGTTAAAGCAAGCTGGGTTCCTTTTATGGTGTTATTTAATTAGCCATTCCACAGCAAACTGCCATCCGGCACCACCTCTAGTGCTGCCCCCCCACCCTCTTCGCTTTGCTGAAACCAGCACCTTCTTCATCACCACCTCCCTTATCCCCCACTTACTCAACATCAGCACCACCACTACCCCTCCCCAGTGTGCTGGGTCCCCTCCTCTCCCTGTCGTTATCTCCAGTAATTAGCCAGGGGACAGGGGTGGACTCATTTCTGGGTTGCCCAAGAGTATTAGCACTGAGACTGTGGCTGTGTCTCTCCCTGCATGGGGTTTTCTCTCTCAGCCCACCACCCCAAGACCTGTGGAGGAAGACAATGGAGACAGTCAGTTTTACAGTAGCCAGCTCAGCCTTACTGTCCCCACTGCCTACTGAGCTCTGTCTACACTGGCATTCTAATCATTAACTAGATTATGACTTTGTGTCTAGCAAATCTTTCCATGTGGTTAATGCAGTTAAGCTAGGTTAATGAAGTCTTATAATCATGCCAGATATGTAATAAAAATTCTTCCATCCTTCAACAGGTGAGTTGGCTTCTATATTCTGGGTAATTTCTTTATTACATTTGCCCCAGTGTGTTTTTAGAGCATTGTTGAGCAATTTAACTTGAGCTGCACCATAATAATAAATAAATAAATTCAAACTTTAATGAGCAGACAGTACAGGGGAATCTGGGGAGCTCCTGGCTGCAGGTCCACACCGTGCTGGATCGACGCCCTCTAGTGACCATTACAGAAGAGAAGCACAAAGACAAGTCCATATAACCTGGTCATCTTATCCAAAGTAACCCCTAATGCAGTAACCCAGAATTAGGAAAATATTCAACAGATAAATACATTTTAACCACCTCATATGATTGATTTTTTTTTTTATTAAATCATGAGTAAAACTGTTTTATGTAGGACTTTTAAATAGAGAAAACATTGTGTTGCTGTCTGCTCAGACTGGAGAGGAACAAAATGTTTAAACATACCAACCTGATAATGAATACATTACATTGTTTGATTTTTAGTGGCCTTAAAGGGGGCCAACATAGCTGCAACATAAGTAAAAAGCCCATCATGGCTCAGTGACTGGTTAGCATGGGAAAAGGTGCCGCTTAGTTATCCGTGGCCATTTATAGCCCTTAATTATGCGCCTATTTTGTGACCCCTGAGTTCAACGGGCCAATTCCTGTGTAGACCCAAATCCTGTCGAACAAAGGTGGAATGTGATGCCCCCTTTCCGTAGAAAGCTACTAAACGTTTCCCATCAATTTTCATGGGAAACTTCAGTACAAGGAAACTCTTAAACGCTTCTGCGGAATATTGACAGCGTATTGAAACTATTAGTGCCTCACAGACACTCTGATGATGAAAAGTGCTGGAGAAAACAGATGCCACATCACCTAAGTGTGTGTAAGATTTCAGTAATTCTGTACTATACATGTCTCTGTACAGGGGGTAGAATATTACGCTACAACACCTAATAAAAGTGGTGCTTTAGGACCCAGTTGATCCTTCTGATTCTGGCTGATATTTTCCACGTTGTGAAAGGAGGGGGTGGTCCGGAGGGGGTGCTGTCAATCATAGTAAAAGTGGCCGGGGTGGGCAGGCCCTTCTGACACTTTGTACCGTCGGAGGGGATATTTAACTTGGGACTGAGCACCAGTCGCTACAGACACACTCACACACAGTGTGCCTAAGCAAAGAAACACTCCAGCGCCAAGTCTCTCAGACTCCTGAAGTAGGAGCGACTCAGTAGGAGCTTCTGTACCAGTTATCAAAGGAGTAGAGACGCTCCCTCAGGAACTGGCTGCTAGCACCGACCGGGCAAAAAGGCTCCTGGTTATGAACAGTCTCGTCATGCAGCAACAGAGGCATCTAGGGCGTTTCTGAAAGAACTCAGAAATGGCTCATGGAAAGGAAATCTGAACTAACAACATTTACTGGCTTTCTTCTGTTTGCATTTGAAATGAATTGACACCGCAGTTTGCTGTCAAGTCGCTTTTTCTGTTAAGTGCAAAACGGAGAGAGTTCTGTGGGAATATCACAGCCGGAGACTTTTATGTAAAAAAAACTGATCTGCAGTTCTGGACATCCTCTGGGAAGATAAATGGGTGTTATTTCATAACTTGGTATTGCATCCTACTGCGGTGCATTTTCCTCTAAGCTGTTTCAGTAAAGTGCACATATCGACGGCTGGAATACCACAAGGGACTGACTGCACAGACTTTTTCCTCCGTCCATGGATTGTGTGCCCTGGGACCTTGTCAAACCAAGCCACATTTATAAAAGCCGTGCGTAAAAATAACATTGGCCAAGACAGCCCTCTCTGTCGGGCGCGTGACATTTCAAACTTTGTGAAGTACTCTTTTGTGCGCTCTTCTCTCTCGGGACGCTCCGGATCTATTCTCTCTTTAGAAAACACTCCATTCCATGCCTCGGCCGCTGTCATCCAGTGCAGACAGTTCGTCGTGGCTTCGAGTCCCCGGAGTAACCATGACAACCGAAAGAAACCCAAAGTGAATCCAAGGCAGCGGGTTGAGTCAGGAGAGACCGTGAACAGAGATTTACCCATTTTGTTTTTGTGCGTGTGTGTGTGTGTGTGTGTGTTTTTTTTTTTTTTTTTTTTTTTTTTTTTAATAACTTTTTTTACATTTGTTTTTTTTTTTTTTTTTTTTTTTTACTAATAGCTTTATTGAAAAGCGGGGGCACCAACTCACGTTGCAGAGTTGCATAGCCAGAAAATTGCAAAGTTTAAGAAGCAAAAGAGCAAAGCACTGCACTGCATGTCATTCAAACCCGAGGCGGTCTATTAAAAGTATTGCCTTGCTGGTGAGCGAACTTCTACTATTTATGAAGTCCACGGCTAATCATTGCAGAGAACACAGTGACCGGGAAAAGAACTGAGTACTATTTACACGAGAAGAGCCGGTGCATAACACAAGAGGAATGATGGGCCTCTCACAAACACTACTCGTTTACGTGCTAGTGTGCATTCACCTTGGAGTTTCCCAGCATTACCTTCGCCTCCGTCCATCGCCCAGTGATCACCTCCCCGTGCCCGACCTGAAGGAGGACCCCGACCCGGAGTACGACCCACGAGAGCAGGACTTGGCCGAGAGGACTTTGAGGAAAAAGCTCGGCAGTAACTTTGACCCCAATTTCATGTCCATCAGCTCGCCAATGCTGGTGAACCTTTCTGTGCCAGACAACCTGGTGAAGCTGCAGGGGCACATGCCTAAAGATATTAAAAACCTGGACTTCACAGAGACCCCCTATGGCAAACCGGTAAAAGTGGGCAAGAAAGCCCGTAGAAAATTTCTCCAGTGGCTGTGGACCTATACGCACTGCCCAGTGGTGTACACCTGGAAGGATTTGGGCGTGAGGTTCTGGCCACGATACATCAAGGAGGGAAACTGTTTCTCTGAGCGCTCTTGCTCCATCCCTGAGGGGATGTCGTGCAAACCAGTCAAGTCAATCAACAAGATTTTCCTCCGGTGGTATTGTCAAGGGTTTCTAAAACAGAAATACTGTACGTGGATACAGGTGCAATACCCAATCATCTCAGAGTGCAAGTGCTCGTGTTGATTTTCTCTAAGGAAGTAATGATGATCAAGGGGGAAGTGGACTGGAAATACAGTTTCTATTGCACTGTTAACTCTCTACAGAGGTGGGCACCATAGCAAATCTATTTTTTTATATAGCATTTTAAGTGAAATACCAACATTGTACATATTTAAGAAAAATGCAGCTATTTTTTCCCTAATTGAACAGGACCATATTTTATTATCAAACCTGAAACCTTGTTTTTGGGAGAACACGAGCACTTCATAAGGAAGAGCTTTTTTTTTTTTTGTTATTTTTTATGAGACATTTGAAGATGGAATGCATATGCTACACTTCTCCAAGAGGTGAACTTTTTTTTCAGTTGAACATTGATGCTGACTGTTATTTCACTGCAATGCTGCATAGAGTATTTGTATAATATTAATATCAATAATAATTAAATTGTTTTAAAAAGTTGAGGTTAAAGATATATATATACAGTAAAGGCGTGAACTCAGCTTTTTGGAATACATAGTGTTGTAGAAATAAACAAATCTGTACGTTTTATTTATTATTTTAACGATTGAGAGTATAGAGCATAAGGAAAGAGAATAGCAGAGTATACCAGAAAAAATACGGGAGATGTCTACTTGAATATTTCTAAAAATGACAAAAAATAAATAAAAAGCAAAACATATCAGTGTACATGTTATGGTTACACGTTTTAGCAATAAAGTCTATCTTTTCAACATGCATTAGTGTCAAGCCATGCTGCTTACAACGTGTCTATATCCAGTGGGCGTGTACACTGTAAAAAATTACATCTGTCTCATTCAGTCTTGACATATTTCCTTGCGACATGATGGCCGGGATTGTTTCATTTGTTTCCAGCTGTTACACGCTTAAGTTATAAGATTGTCCATAAATACGTTTTTTATTTAGAAAACATCATTTTAATGTGTTTTCTTGAATTGGAAACAAGTGAAAGAGAGCCTCATTTTATGAAAATAAAGTTCAAGACTATGTCAGACTGGTGTTTTTTTGCAGTGTAGCCGCTCGGTATCAGTGTGGAGTGGAGTTACTAATAGGTCCAAGTTTCGGTGACTCGGTGTGGACTGCCTGACGCTCCACGCCGTCACGGGGGTTTTAGAAAGGGCTGATTTACGCTGTGTAATGCGCAGCACATACCTCAAGCGCCTCCACAGAACTGGCATTCATTGGTCCCAGCCAGAGCGAGAGAAAGGAGAGACCACGCACATTCATCTCCCCAGTCTACGCACATGCTCGTTTCAGAGCTCCGAGGTGTTAACATAATGGGTAAAATATGATTCAGACTTTTCAAACAGTGTCAGATGATGAAATGGTGAGCATATACGCGCAAGCCAGGGGCGTCTGGGGTCTGTGCTTTTTACTCTGGAAGCTCCACACAAGTTCCACTGAGGTATTTGTATAGAGGTGGACTGGAGCAGACCGGCGCCTATTCAAGTCTGACCGCCCTGGAGAGAGAAAAAACACAAAGCCAATAAAACAATGGTCAACTGTTTTTGACGTTAGCAGACTATTAATTGGAGAGCTGGGGTATTTGTCTCCAAGTTAAAGAGATATGGCCAATTAAACGCTTTGGACACGCTCAGGGAAATTAAGTCCTAAAGCGAATAGTCATTTTCTGCAAGCAGGGTGTTTTTATTATGTTTATATTATTCTTTAAATACAACCAACGACTTAAACAGAACTATGACTACATGTCTGACAGCTAAAAGCAGCTCATGTTATATTTCCACTGAGCGCATCTTGTGTGCGCTAAAGTGATTTGTGTTTTTGCGGGCAGAGTTGGATTTGACACTTGCCGCCCGGTTATTGTGACAGAACCACTGAGAGGGTTTGGTAAGCAGGGGAGAAGAACAGCAGCATGCCACAGCGGAGGGGGAGGAGGAGGGGGAAGAGGAGCGGGAGGTGGTTGCTTTCCTTACTGTCAGCTTCTTTCTTGATGATGTCTCGGGGTTTGTAGAAACTGCGTCTCTGACTCGACGGCGCCACTCAGCCGCCCCCTCTCGACTGCGCAGAATGAGGCACTTTGGGAAACAGTAACCCTTTCAGGCTCTGCCCGGAGAGTATTTTAGAAGCGTGTGAAAGGTAATACGCTGCCCTGGCTCCAGCCAGTTAGGTGCGCACCTTTTAGAAATGGACCTTGCCAGCCAGTCAGGTTCTCAAAGTAGGTTCCGTGGACCTCCAAGTTGTCCTTGAGGGGATTCTTGGGGTTCATCAGCAAGATGAATAGTTAAATGTCAACAACGTACCATTTCACTAGAAATAACCCAATGTTGTCTGAGTACATGCACCATTACTTTAGTCATACTGTGTATCACTGTGATTATGATCATCTCCAGTGCCAGACATTAAATAAACAACTAGAATCTTCTCCTGTCTTCACTACACAAAACGTCCAACATTACTTCATACTAGTCATAAAATTTATGTTTTGATTTATCAGCAAATCGCATAACTTCACTATAACTTTCACTTGATGTAAATTTGCAGTCCTTTTGACAACAGACTGTTGATTGATGTATTATGATGGATAAAATTAGAAAACGTCTCTGAACACCAGAGTGACACATGTGAAGTGCAGCCTGCATTCATATACTGCCCATCAACATGTCAAGACAATGGTGGCCTTTACCCTTTCATACACCATACATCATTATTGTCTAAAACTTCCTGTCTCCATATTCATCAACACAGACCTCTGACAAATTTGGCTACAATGACCCCAGTAATAATAAATGATGTTTATTATATTTGGAGACTTCATATTTATCATGTGAATGTAAGATAAATCACACCTTTGCTGTGTGTAAGGAGAATTAAAGAAAAGACAGGGAAACAATTTGAACAGAGATGATGGGGTGACACATTGATTGGGCTCTGTCTTCTGATAAGAGTCCATTATGATGGATTGTGCAGTGCATCAGCTGCAAAGGGTCTGTAGTGACGTTTGGTTGAGCAAATGAGAACGAGCATCCATACCTGCATGGGCATCTCTACATGGAAGAATAAGCACATAAGTATGTGCCGATTGCATGCATGCACACAATCAGCCACATCGGCACACACACATTATTGTACTTCTGTCTTGGTGAGGACACTCACTGACATATTGCATTCTCTGGCCCCTTACCCTAAGCTTAACCATCAGAAGTAAACACCTAACCCATTCCCTTAACCTAATTCTAATCTAAACCCTAAAACCAAGTCTTAACCCTCAAAAAGATAAATGTTTTGCAAAGTGAGGATCAGCCAAAATGTCTTCACTCTGTAGCAAAAAATACTTTTTTGGTCCTCACTACATAGCAAGTACAGGAACACACACACATACATACATCTCTGGCATGCAGCGGGCTGACAGACAGACAGACAGAGAGACAAGGGTCTGTGGCTGTAAGTAAGGCCCAAACCCCATGGTTGTAGAAACCAGTGAGTCAGCACTGCTGAGGTTATTGATGATGACAGGGTATTAGATTGAGCTCTGAGAGGAGGGGGCACAGACAGACCCATACCCAAACACACACACACACACACACATACATGGAGTCACCGCAGATAATACCCGGCATTCTGTCAGACCACCAGCCCTGGCTTGTGGTGTCTGGAGGCATGTGTGTGTGTGTGTGTGCGTGTGTGTATAGGCGTCAAGCAGTTTTTCATGTTGTGTAATTGAGTGTGCCAGTGTGTGCTCAGGACACTGAAGCTCCGAATGTATCTGTGCCATGATAGTGAGTGCATGTACATGAGTCTTCACAGATCCATTTCAATCCTGGTGGTCCTCAGTTGACTGGTCACTCTCTAAACCACCAAATGACCCTGACTGTTTAATTATAGTCTCCTCTCACCAAAGTCACGCCTGAAATGTATGTTTTATGTGTGTGAGTGTCTGAGATCAGAAGCCTTACTTTTGAGCCACATCCAAGACCATTCTGATCTCAGCCATCCATCGATGTAAGGGCTAACTAAGCTGACCTGGAGGCAGCAGCAGTGGGCACAAAATTCATACGGAAACATGCCATGGCAGCAACATGGTGGCCAGCAAACAACAGGAGACAATAGTTAAGAAACAGGTGATTGTAATCAAACTCCAGTCGCTGCCAACAAGCCGCACATTGTAAATCACTGCTGTTGCGGCTGCTTGTTGCTGCTGACCTCAGTTTATCTTATTAATCTTATTCATCTAAGGCTTTAATGCTGCTCTAGCAATATGAAAAGTAATAATCAGCAACATGATTGTGTGACTGGAGCTCCCATTAAACACACAGCAGTCAAACGCCTGCAGTAAGAGCCTGCTTGCCCTACTGTATATGCTCTTGCTGTTACCCTTTTAATCAGATACATAGTGTCTGAGTCACATTAGTGTAGTCATGCTTGCTGATTATCCAGTTTAATTCTTGTTAGATGTAATAGATATTGCAAGCCCAAAATAAGGCCTAAAATAGATCCGTGGGTGGTGTGGCACTAGCAGGGCTGGGCATAGTGCATATTCTGAGCTCTGTTTCCATGGTTACTTGCGCTTTCTGAAATTGCAGGATGCATCTTGGAATCAGAAGTCCCATTTTTATTCAAACAGCCTAATTTGACTTCTTATTATGTTCTTTCCCTCGCCAATCAGGAAAGGTGCTTTTAAGTTGGTGGACCGTGTTCGATGCATGCCAGTGTCACAGGCTGTGAGCGGTGAAAATGGCCGCCCCAGGCTAAAAGTGTATGGATACAAATATGCCACTGACCACTACTGACTTTACCAGGTTTACCTCATCAACCTACAATCTAAAACCTGGCTTGTCTGTCAATTGGACCTCAAAACTGTCCCTGTTTTCAGCCCATTGACCCCTCCACTTCACACACAGTCAGCACAACAATTAGCAAAGTGACAACAGAAACATAACAAAAGACACCTTTCACACACACATCATCACCAAATCATTAAGCATAACCAGAGTGATCCTAATGTATAATTAGCCCCTGGTGGCCATAACAACACACTCAGGTAAGCTATCTTTAAGTTGTTTACTTCACTACTCATCTTTATGATTCCACATGCTTGATGACATACACACACTTGAATTTTTCTTCTAATTAAAATCAATATATTCCATATCCATCTCTTCACAGCTCACTGATAGCTACACACACACACACACCTCCCCCTCACAGCCTGTCCAGCGGCTGTCTCCCAGTACCCTTCTGTGCGCCTAGCTGGCATGCTGGCATGCTGAGAATGTTTACTTTCACCACAGTGTGTATTTACAGAGCCTAATAGTTTTTTAGGCCGCAACGGCGCCTCGCTTCGTAATGTGTACAACCCACCTACTACCTCAGACTGCCTCACACACTACTCACCCCCAACAACAAATCAAACCTTTGGTATTTGTGATGAGTTCTAATGCAGCTGACACAAAGAAGCAGTAGGAACATCTGAACGTGACGTCACCTCCTCTGTGACTGGAGTGAATGGATCAGATGAAGCTAAAAATAAGGACACAGAGGAGAGTATGTGTGCTATGAGAGGTAAAATGAATGTGCAAAGGTCTCACAATGAATGGACACATGATGTCTTCAATGGCTGTGCTTGACATTTGGCAACCAAAGAGATTTGTGAACGCATGTACAAGTATTTGTGAGCAACTTCGTGTGTGAGAGAGAGAAACAGAGTGACGGAGATGGTGAAGTGTACTCGGATCAAACAGATGAAGCAGATGATACATGTCAGGTGGGACTTCAGGAAACAGCTCCCTCCTGGTCACATTTGTAAGGGATATGGGGAATCTCTTTATTGACCAATTCCTTTGTGGTTAATGATGGTAAAGCTACAAGAAAGTGGTCACTGGTTTTAAAG